CGGATCGAAGACAATGCCACCGGCATCAAAACAACTGGACTGTGTCGTGCAAGTATCCGTGACGTAAGGTCGGTACGACGGGTTAAGCGACTCCGCATGCATCTTAAGCCCGAAATGGAGTCGCCACGTGCCATTGGTATGACCCGAGGGAAGTTTTATTCGTAGGTGCGAAAGCTGCCCTCTGCTTGGGCCATACCCTTCGCGTGTTACGAGCGATATGGTTAGGCTTTTGAATGAGGCAAATAATAACAGCAAAAACAGGGAGTCATTGAGCTCTTGTGAAAACTAATAAAAAAAATCGCAATAAAAATCCAATGCAAAAATCGCGTGGGTGAACCAGCCTTAATATAATATATGCGAAATACACGGATGACTAATACGTCGAGTGGTTAACGTATGAGATTAAAAAAAAAAAATCCTCAAAATTTTTTCATCATTTTAAAAACAAAAAAAATCATCCCCCAACGCTTGGCCTCGTTTTCCACGTATAACCCGCGGCTACGGTACGTACGACAATTTGGATCCACCAGGAAGCCCAGAGCTACACCTGGAAACGCAACACAATGGCGCATTGTCTGCAGCCAAGCGCCAGGTTTAATCACGGATGTTGCCCGCCTTTGTCAATTTACATAGTTCAATCCCTGAGCTGTCTGCTGTATACGAACGCCCACGTATTTCGAGGCACGGCAAGAGGCGAAGAAGTAAGAGCCACGATAATAAACGTGAAAGTATGAAGGAAATAAATAAATAAAATTGACGGTCTCCGTGTACATGCGTGGATAACAATTTTACGTGACATGACGCATTCCTATCATACGAGAATCGGCCTTTCCCAATTATCTGGTATCGTGTTCCCGTATATATATATATAAACACATACACCCCTTACGCAAAAAAAAATATCCAAATAATTTGTCATTTTGCAAAAATTTATCCCGGCCCTTTTACGGTCAGGTAAATCACGTCGCCCGCACTGCTGTGACGGATGACTAAATCTATTTCGTATTTCAAAAACGTGATTCAACCAGGTTGCGTATACGGTCGCCCACGTGCGAATCGTGTGAAATTTATCGAAAAGTGTGCACTCTCTGCCACTCACCGGTGCTTTAATTTCGTGAGACCAACGGGACCCACCGAGCAGTCGTACCGGCATCCTGGACTACCGTCGACGGCACCAGGTCCGCCTACGCCAGCATCGGAAAAGGTTACCCGGAGCAAGATCAGCGGTCGATCTATTTTCTGGCAGGCAGTACACGGCCTAGTATAATTTCTAAAGGGAAATTGACGACTCCGCTGCACGCAGCGCATGGGTATTACCTAGGGGATTTATTGCCTGTACGGGTGGTTGGTACGAACTGCAGATAACTTCTCGTCACACCGCCTCTGTGACCTTTTCCGCTCAAAGGGCAGAAACAAAGGATTCGAGTGCACAGTCATGAATTAACAGTAATCGCCCACGCGACCGAGTCGTATATAAATATATATACATATACACCCTGTAGACCCATGTGCGAGCCACATCATGGTTCTCGATAAGCATTGGCGAAACAATACACCGATAAATTCCCTATGGGCGATCTTCGGAGCGGTAACTACGGCACGGCATTTCAGATAAGAAACAATGGAGGCTGATATCGTTTGGCCGCTTGTCATCGGGCTTGCCAACCGTTTTCAAGTAGAACGACGGGAGTCACTCCGGCAGCATTTACAATCATTGTCTCGAGGCAGCTTTGTATTACACGGATTGACAGTACCGTCGCGATACAGCCATTGAGCGTTCGTTTACATAAATTATCACTCGCTACTACTCGTTACGTTATATTTTAAGCGACCGATCGGAATATTAATATGCAGTGCCTAAATTTATTTTTCAAACAGACAAACAAATCCCCATAAATACGGTCTGCACCGCCATTATCTTTCGCACGGACCCGAGTGCCGAATACAAGTAGGTACGCGATCCGCTTCGAAACAGTCGCAAGGCGAGTACACAAGTAGGTAGACGCGTCAAGTCCACGCGCATGCGCACCAGGTACAAGACCAATGGCGCGTTTAGTATTACGAAATCGTATAATCGTTCGTACGCGCACTAAGGGAGAATATATTCGGACGGCACGAAATTCGCGAGCACGAATTTAGGTTCGACTAAAAGCGACAAGTTCGCGGGACAAGGACTTGCATAGCAGGACTTGAATATCTACGTCGCCAGATTGTATACGGTTAGCCGTAAAAAAAAAAATTACGAGTTTATCACATAAAACATCAGAGTGACATATCCCGTGGAGTCTACCTGAACGTATGCATGGACGACGTTGTTATAAATATTGTAAATAAAATATTTGTAATAATAAATAACGTGTATGACGCAAGGAAAACATTGCCGCGATAAATGACTACGTGTATCTTTACTCTGGAAGCCATAGGAGTGACGTAACGCCGGAGTACGAGGGTGCTGAAGTAGAATTGCAACACCCTGGGACCGCTGCATGTAGATAGAGACAGTACAATTACGATCGATACGCCAATGAGTGGGTACCAGGTGCTCGTCTCCGAGGGCTGCCGTTTCACGTTCGTTCGTCGGTTACGTGCGAGCTCTTTTTTTCTCCTCATTTTCCATGCGTTTCCCGGTGAGGAACCAATAATTCATGTGAGCCGCAATTAGTCCGGGAAACGTCACAGCTTTGTTATTGGGCATCAGGTAGATAGGATCAGGTCAGGTATGGAGAGACTGAACAGATAGACAGACGGACTTGGAGAGATTTTATTGGAAAAGGTGATAAAAATAAATCAGTGCTATCCAATTTTACTAGCAGAGACCTGAGGTGGAGTCTTCCCGTTCAAATAACGTGGATACGTATCGGTTGGGTGGATGACGTTGTAAAATTTTGCTTTGGTGATTTCTGTTTGTACGTTTTTAAACCACGAGAGAATTTCTAGGTTAAATGGTGACGAAGATAGGGACTTAAGGGGGCAGAGCAAGTGTCGCGGATAGTAATCAATGTAATCCGATCAGAAAGTATCAATTACTCTTCGGCTCCCTTGAGTTCTTCAGAAATCAATAGAGTGAGAGATACGAAGAGTCCAACTATGCTACGTGAAATTCATTATCGTTCCCAGGGTATGATGGTGATACGTGCTTGTCCCGTGTACGTACATTGTAGCGCATTGATGCAACCTCCAAATACATAAAGTCAATATAACGCGTAGGCAACTGTGAGTTGCAACGTATGAAGAAATTTCAAGTCGCTCCGTGTCACGTTGAATTGTACTGAACGGCGGCACGTGTTACGTGAGAATACGGTATAACGTTTGCTGGGCAAATATATTTATCTTTCGCAACTGCTGGTGTCGTCTTGGTACGTTACGAATTCGTATACGAGGAGCTAACGTTAACAAAGTAAACTTTAACGCGGCAGCGGTTTGTCGTATTGAAACGGTTTGCTATGGGTTGGAGATTCGCAGCTAGCAGTTGGCAACGTTTGCATAATACGAAGCCGGTTTATTCGAATGTTCAGATACGCCGAAAAGTTTGGGAGATAAGACTTATACTCGAGAATGAAAAAGAAATTACGAACTTTATAATACTGACAAGATTATGTCTTACTGGTTATTCGAATCTAGTGCAAGTAAATCTTAGTCAAATATATCGTTCGCATTATGTGGCTTTGTGTACGTAGGCAGAAGCTAAGTAAATAGATGAATAAGACGATCTAGTGACATAAGCACGTAATATAGATATGTATGGATGACGTTTTGAAATATATTCCAAGCGAGGTTCCTGCTTGTTGAAAGTTATCTAGGCAAGAATGGGATTAAGGAAGGCTTGACAGTTTGCCAGCTGTGCGCAAGAGCCAGGGTTAGGTTAGAATTCGGTAGGTTTGGGGGGGGGTCGCGAGGTGATCCAAGGAATCGAACGACTGGCCAAAAAGGTTGCGATACTTGCAGCTGGGTATATAGGGACTGACGAGTAAGAAGTGGTACACAATGAGAGAGATATATAAAAGGATAAAAAAAAAGTAGCAAGCTCACCTCGTTGAAGGCCATCTTCTTCGCTATGTTTCCGGACTCGCGACTGTTCCCGGTGACTCCTTGTCCCACCGCACGGACAGCAGAAAATCCTCGTGATGTGCTGCCCGGCCACTACTACTTCCAGCAGCTGATCTCGCAGCCCAAACCTGTATGCAGGCCAGGATAGGGCATCGAATACACCAGCACTCGCGACACCACGACGACGACACTCTCGACGGACCTGTCTGCTGGGAAACGTCCGCGGCGGCGACACACATACGTCACGGAACGAACACTTTTGACCCCTGAAAAACACCGACCGAACTTCACCCTCTTAGCATGCCCTTCGCGATCCCGATCGACCTTCCCGAGATCCTGGGAAAATCTGGCATTCCTCAGGTGGGACCGTGGAACACCTTCAACCGGACTTGCCAACAATTCACGACACGGACGCGATATACGTGCTTATTGAAAATATACTTAAACGTATTCTATCGCGACGTACTTCTGTTATCGATCACGTGAAATAGACTCAGTCTTCGCACCTGTTCTCAGCGTTGTTTTTTTCGCGTATTTATATCAGCCGCAGAGCTATCCGCAAACAGACCAGCGCCATCTTGGTTTCTGATGTCGCGGAACGAATGATGCGCGCGACGCTGACACAGCTGCGAACGGGGAAGCCGATGGTTGTTCTGTTCGAAAGACCACGTGAGAATAATCTACAGTTCATTGGCTGACGTTTGGGAGCGGCTTTCTCAAACTTAATTTCGAACATCAGATAGTTCCTATTGGGCGAGGATTAAACTATTGTGAGAGATGGTGATTGAAAATGTAATGACCTCAGCCACTGTACTGGTCACTTATAATTTAATAAGGAACACTTTTTGTTGTAATTTATTGCCGACTGAGTAGCAGGTATGCTAGACAAGGTTGGGTCAATTCGTATGCCATCTGGGGATTTAATACGAAAATGGCCGCTAGGGCACGCCTTTGCTTCATACTACGGAAAATCGTCATTGCGGTCAGTACGTGAAAATTGTCTTTGCGACTTTTCCGTAATCCAGTGTCTCCTTGGTGATTAATTGTCTGATTAAACTTGACGTAATACTCGCGAGTGTTACGTGGTACGCAATTCGCAATTGAGTCTAATAAGAGGACTGTTAAAGTTGGAAAAATGGGTAGGTCTAGGTCGAGAAGTAAATCGCCTAGCCGGAGGCGTCACAAGAGCAAACATTCCCGTAAACGCTCTAAATCACGCGAAAAGCGATCGAGTAGCAAGTACTCCGAGAAGCCAAAAGAACGCAGCTCCAAGTCTAGGTGAGCATCATCTTTTAGAGAGCCATCTCGTTTGGAATTTTTTATCGACCAAGTGTTCTGTTGTGTTTTTCCCCGGCCATTTTGCGATTTTCTTTGATTTTTCCCCTGGCACTGACCACTCAACTTTAGAGTAAAGCACTTGGCATTGAGAACTGTTGATTAAAACTTGTTTACCACGGTTACATTCTTGCGTAATTTCTTTCTCTGAATTATCATGACATTACTAATCAGAATATTTCATGATTTATAATTCTACTTGATGTATGTATAACATAAAGGATTATAGTATGCATGTTTTACCGTAGGAAGAGATCGCATTCTGCAACATCCAGTAGCGGTTCAGATGTCTCCGATGATGTACATATTGTTAGTCACAAAAAACGCTCCTACAGGGATAGAGACCGAAAGATGGACGAGGTCGAGAGGCTGGCAGAAATGGAGCGACAGAGGTAAGGCACAGAAATATGTCCTGGTGTCCTGTTCCTCTTTGGGTGAACACGGATGTCTCTAAAAATAATGTTTTACAGAACTCTAAGTCTATAAGTTGTTTTTGTGATTGTGTTATGACAGGAAAAAGAAAGAATTAGCGAACAAAATCCTTGCCACGAGTGCGATTGGGTAAGATTTGAGTATCCAAATTTCAAGGTGGTGGTTAACTGGTTTTTCAATCTTGAGCTATGTTCGTGTTAGATTTTCAAGCATGCTTTCCATTGTTTCAATTCTAATAGCACGAACTCTATATCTATGTAAAAGAGTCTAAGTACTATGCAGTATTACATTATTAAGTGAAATCCGTGTTTACTTGATATGACTCGGGTTAACATGCGTAAAGTAAAGATGAAGTTAAATAGCATATGCTATATCGTAGTACCCTTACATGGGTAATACATTGGATTAATATCAGAACCAGACACCCGATGCTCATCTGCCAACAGGAGGCAACGCGAAGTTGAACAGAAGATGGTCGAGGAGGAGGCTGCAAAACGAATTGAAGAACTTGTACAAAAACGTGTTGAAGAGGAACTAGAGAAACGTAAGGAGGAGATCGAAGCCGAAGTGCAGAGGCGAGTAGAAGAGGCTAAGAGGGCCATGGAACGGCAGATGATGGAGGAGATGGAATGGCGCCAGGCCAAACTTCGCGAGGAGGAGAAACGAAGAGAGGTAAGACCAATCCAGAGAAACATTGGCCGGTATTAGCCCAAACGCTGTTACACTTAAAGCGCAGTGTGCTGCTTTGACGTTGCACCAACTCGTTTCAAGAAATTTCCTTAAAGACACGAGGTTTGTTTCGCTATTTATCCCTTGAACGGCAAAGAAACTTAAAGTATTTTCACCAACTACGAAGCATACTAGAATACAGGAATATTTTATACAAATACCTGTCGAAGAGTATTTTCTCAAAGATTCTCATATCTTTCATAAAGTTCCAATAATTTGCTTTATCGAAGAATGCAGATTAGCTTGTACATTTTTATGAATAATCAGTATAACAAAAAGAATTAAATTTTCGAACATCGTGCCTTTCATGGCTCACGTGGAATCAACCTCTATGATTTTGTGTCACTGCCATGAATTCGTCACATTAATAGCGCATCGTCACAGCGTTTGGGCTCGAAGCGTTGTGGTTCGCGCGAACTCGCTGAAAATTATAAATTTGACGACCACATTGCTTCGCCTTCCCAACATCCACCGAGGTCGCGCTGTTGGGGAGATATATTTTTATTTATTTATCCTTCTTTTTTGTAACCATTGTAAAGGTTCTCGTACCATAGACGCATGCGTCGGTTATTTGCGAACGGTGTATTGTACCTGTACCATGTATATATCTACATAACAATATAACCAATCGTCGTGTGGAATCCTGACCGACAGTGATATCGGTGACTGAAAGATCCACTGAGACTTCGGTGGGCGATTAATACTCGCCTTTAGGATTTTCCAGTTCGTCGATCGTGTCAGTCGGGCGAACGATGAATTATTGTCGAGATCTAGTTTGTATCTGCAAATGTGAGCATCCAGGTTGTCGTCGTTTTATGGACTTTAAGGAAAATTAAAAGGAAATACGAAAGTATGGAAAGGATAATAAAAAATAGAGACCATGGAGACAGAGGAGAAAGAAAATACGTAGGAGAGCGCGCGGAGAAAAATTTAAGGAAGGAAGGAAAAGATTTAAGAAAGAGAAAGATACGTCTGAGTGACTACGAAATAGTGATCCCAAGAGAAAAGAAAAACTTTGTAATTTATTTTAACTCGAACACTCGAGATTTAATCGAGGATAAAATAAAGTTATTTATTTATGCAAAACATAGGCCAGTGGTATTCTTCCCCGGGCTGTCATTGAACGTTAACTAATTGTTGCTAAATCTTGGAACGATATACCGATATATGAATTATATTCGCACCGGTGGACCGCACTAGTCGCAGATACGACACGGACAATCGACTTTCAAAAATATCACAGTGACTTGTCACGTTTAAAAAACAAAAATTCACCTCTCACCAAACTCGCTATGCACTGCACGATATCGAACAAATGAAGTCCTTTGTGTCTGTCACCTTTGACCTGCCTAGCAAAGTCGGATATCAAGTCAAAGAGGGCTTTCGCTATTTGATCAAAAGATACAGAAATAAAATCTATTCAAAGGGATCATAATTCTTTGAATAAAATATCAGATATAGAATATTTCTTTATTTTTCTTTTTACTTCAAACGTATCATCAACTATTGTCAGGCGTCTCAGTCCTAGACACGTTTCCTACAGTGAAAATGATTAACCCTCGTTAAATGTCCTGATTTCCGGCCAAATGGCCAGTGTCCCTCGTATCGAGCCGACATGAAGTTTTACCCACGTTCCAACGCGGATATTAATAGGCTTGCGCCAAGAGCGCCCTATGAATCTGAGGGAAAGAAAACAGTTTCATTAGAAAGGGGAACATAGACTTTAATTAAGGGGCCAGTATTAGAATCCCATAGCAACAAAGCACGACCTAGCGATATATAGGTCGCCTTCCTAACTGACTACCAACAGAAGATGCCGGTTTTTTACTCACTGCCGAGTGATTGTTGATGAAGAAGGCATCCCCTACGTGCTGGCGTGAGCTTCATTCAGGTATTATCCAATTTATATATTCATAATTCATTATATACCAAATATTATTATTATCGTTCTTTATTGACACACTTTTTACCACCAGTTTCATTACTAGGAGCCACGATATATTGTGATTGGTTAACATACGGATTTATCGGACGGCCGCATACCGTCGACAGGTCGGGCGGATGGCACGATATTTATTCTTCTTCCCCTGCTTGAAATAAGAGACAAAAAAACGAAAGAATAACTTGCAATTTTTCGGATTGCTCTTCGAGTCCTCTATCGTCGTCTGGCGATTTTTATCGATCGCGAAAATGTCCTGTCGCCTTTTGATAAGATCATTTGGCGACCTGGCATAACGACAATTATCTGCATGCATCACGATTCTATTGTCATACAGATTTGGATTACATTGAAATTTTTCATATTCGAAGGTATCTTTACGTTTGAGTCCACTGTATCTCTTGTCCGGTTGGATCTTTGCGAATTTACTTTATAACGTGGTCAATTCGCAAGAGAAGCTCGGGACGAAGAGATGCTGTGTATGAGAAATGTGAGCAACTGGTTTTTTTTTTTTTTTCTTTTTTCCAATGTGATAACGTCACTCCGAGCCATCCACCCTCTCTGGACTCGACCTCAAAATTTCACCTATCCCCGGCTGCCTTCCCTGCATAAAAGAGGTTCTTAGGATGTGTAAAACTAGGCTCTTGACATAGCGGCACTATGATTTTTGGACATGAACGGTGTAAAACGACAGCAGTTACCACCAACAGTGTTATTGCGTTATGTAAACGTTTGCCATTGTCGTTGTAGGAGGAAGAGCGGAAAAAGCGCGAGGAACTTGAGAGGATCATGGAGGAGAACAACAAAAAGATCGAGGAGGCCCAGAAGAAGCTGGTGAGTAATCGGATATAGGATTTTGCTTTTCATATTTTATGTGACGTACTCATCCTTAGAATGATCCTTTTTGTGTCATTGGTTATTCAACTGTCCTTCATTTTGATGTGTCTTTCTGTTCAGGCCGAGGAAAGACTGGCTATGGTCGAGGAGCAACGGCTGATGGAAGAGGAGAGACAGAGAATGAGAAAGGAACACGAGAAGCGTGTCAAGGAGGAGCAGAAGAAGATCCTCGGCAAGAACAACTCCAGGCCGAAATTGTCCTTTACGCTTAAACCAGTTACGTGAGTCTGTACTAGCTGCGCGCAGACGTGTATGTGATATTCGTGCGTTCTTGTCGGTTCTGGAGGACGTTTTCAAAACCTGCAAGAATCAACAACCTTCGTTAGCTACCACATGTAGTGTACGTACCTTTTGAATATGTCGTAATAAGGTGACTAGCCGGTTGATAAAATCGGAAGCTTCTCGCGACTACTTTAAAACCTCATTTCACTTCACTTCACTTTACTTCAGATTGCTGAAATACTGCCGGAGCGGTTCATTCGATCATTTTGGGATCCTTTGGGATACTTTCGAAATTATTGGATCTACTGACTGTGATGGCGAGAATTTCATGCAGTCGCCCTCACGCGAGTTACGTCATTTACTAGAGGAACAAGCTCTGTTTTTTTTTTCCTTTTTTTCTTTGAACTTTTAACATTAATTTGAGAGAGAACGTCTAATGATTTCTTATCACAAGACTCGGGTCGGTACATGAAATCATGCTGATTTGGATGAACCAAATGTCATCCGTTGATATTTTTATTTCAATGTGGTCACGTTGAAAGTGACCGTTATTGATCGTACCACGTGGTGTAATTTAAATCTGACAGATGAATTTGCATATGCTGTATTATGTTTCCAAGGATTTGAGAATCTCGTACCAATGAATTTTCTTCTGTAAATAGACAATTAGCAAAACACCTCATCGCTTGGTTTCTAAATATATCGGTAATGTCTGACCTGTTGTGTCATTTTACCTGTGTAAAGTGTTGATTATTCTAATAGTGAGATAACGTTCATTTCGTTCATTTTATTCCTCGCGAAAAGATATATAATGTCCACGAGAGCTCACTCTGACCTGACGTATCTTAAAATTCGATTGTACTGTAAAATAATCATGATTCCATAGAAGTGTACAATCGAACGCAGACACGAGCAGAATGCTGTTTTGTACGAATAATCAGTAGGGATGGGAACAAAGCTATACAGTTGTAAATGTTCCATACCTATGTTTGTATAGTCATGCCGCAAAATGAAATCTGTTGATACAAGATTGTATAATCACGAAAATGTTATTTGTAAAATAAACGGGTTTTTATTAACCGGTCATTGTACCTCATCTACTTACTTCTAGCTTATGTATGTTTTGTAATCGTAAGAGAATTTGGAAAATCAAAGTTTGTATTATCTAAAATCCAAACACTATATTTATACTCATTGGATTTAATTGTTTATAGTTTAACAATTATCAGTTGCTTTTGTAGTATCCTAATTTTTGCTTAAATAAATATCATTCTCAGAGCCACCAATGGAAAAATGAAGTAAGGTTATTTGCTGACTCGAATAAGTATCATTTATCGAACACAGTTATAAGTTTATTAATCAGGGTTGAGGGAGTGCACTTTTCTGTTTGGCATTTATACCTTTTCCAAGAATAAACATGTTAGCCCCTAAATAGGGTTGAAAATTTGTAACTTGCTGTTGGTATGCCAAAACGAAGTTACCAGTATCAGCCTTTGGATTGGTCGGATAATCCAATATTACTGTGGAACAAGTAAAACTGGTACTCATTAGATGTTTAGGATATTGATGTAATTAATTTAAGTGCTATTAATGCAGCTGACCTTTTATTAGACTCTCCAGTACTTCCGGATACAGTCTCGCAGTTACTCGAGTACTGGGTGGATGCATTCGGGGATTGGTATTGATCTCTATCAGCCACACTGATAAGTCATCCATTATCATGAAATCTGCACCATACAATTCAAAACTACAACGACGTTTATCCATATGCTCCTGTGCTGCTATCGTGGTGGCTACAATGGCTTCACACATTTTCGGATAAATTTCGTCGTACCAGGGTTCACCCTTGTGACCGGATTTTCTGTAATAAATTAATTGTGAAATAAGTCTATTTAGAGATAACAAGTAAAATTATATACTTAAGGTAATCATTGATTTTTTCACAGTCCCAATCCTGGGAGCGAACAGAATTCTTTTGATCTGCATATTTACACTGTACTGCGGTGTTGCAAATATGAACAGCTTCATGATAATGAGAGAAAGTAAATGGTCTGGAGCTAAATCGTAAAAGAGCTTCCCTTGAATATAAAAAAGTCAGTGGTATTAATAAGAATTATTATACATATATAAATGCTAATGATGACTATGAAAGAAATACTTGTATATCCAAATGTTTAGAGGATAACTTTTTGTTACCAGGTACCATTGTCTCACATCAAATTTTGTATCATGGACAAGTAATGGTCTCTCTATAATTATATGGTACACTCTTAATAGCTGTCTTATATATATTATTTAGAAAGTTACAATAATTAATAGACAAACCGATGTATTTTTGTACAACAAAATAATCCTTAGGACTATCATGAATTTTTTTAATGATATGAGTCAACTTGTGACTTATCACAATACCAGTTCCACAGCAAAGATCACTGGGTTTCAAGATCCATATGTTTCTCATGCCATTTAATTTGTATTGCGGATCAATGTCCTCGACTTTCTTTAAAGTCTGCACAGCTTGTTTGTACATTTCCTAAGAAATATTTTAGGAATGAATGCGAATGAATTATAAGGGAAAGGGTAAGGAAGCATTAAGTTAATATATCACAGAAAATTATTATACATGTATCGATAACCCTTCTGTGCTTGCCAAATTATCTTGTTCGAGTGGCAATAGGCCATTTCCATAATGAACAACTTTTGTGTAGTCATCGATAAAAGAATCCCATTCCTGATAAGGTATTTCTATTTCAGATCTATCCAAGTACTCATCTCCAACCTCAGCTACATAATCTTCACATCTTTTAATGGCAAATTCAATTTGCTTTGCTGATATTTGATTGGCACCTACTCCAATCAGTTCTGCTTCTTCCTTGACACGATCCACGAACCATTTTAAAAGACTCACTGCAGCTGTTCTTCTGTAGTCTTCGACAAAGGTATTTCTTTCACGACCGACATTATAATTTCTTGGACACTGGACACTGGATACATTGTCTTCGTAATACCAATGAGCGTCCTGAAGTATAGTCGCCATGCCCAACTGTCAAGGGACCATAAACCATTTTTAAATTGCTTTAATATTTATTAATAATTTGAACAAACCTTGGACGTGTAAATGAAGGATTTTTGAAATCTGTTGAGCAATGTATCTTGCTTGATACTACTATTCCAATCTACAAATTCGTTTCTGCAGTCCCAGATGAAATTTGGCGAGGTGTGTTTTAATGCATGGAAAATTATTGCTTTTTCGTTTAAGCTGCCATCCTGGTTTTGAATGGTGCCTAAAGATGGTGCGTCCAAACTAGCTACGCTTCCTGAAATATAGGAATTGTTGAGATTTCTTTTTTTTTGTCTATTTCTTATTCTGTTTTACAATTGCCTTACCGTATGGTAAATTTCGAGATTTTGTCGATTCGTATTTCTGTACCCAGCCTCTTTTCTTCAGGGAATCTTCCAGGTAGGGAATGTCTCCACGAATTAGAAATATTTTGTGATTCTAGATATTACAGTGGAATCAGAAATTAAGATTTGGAGGAATATATTGTTTTGGTATGGATCTGACTGAATTACCTTTATGGCTTTTTCAACTTGTTGCTGAATTATCATGTGTTGTTCTTTTTTACTAAGATTATTTGAGGAATTACGTGAGCTTATTTGCAAAGCTTCTTGTATTCTTTGTTCTTCGCAAGTTCCTTTTTTTCGATTATTACCGTTTAGAGATTCGGATAACGGATCCGATTTTGCGACTGTTGAAGATTCCTTGAGATTGGAATTATTTTGAGATATTATTTGACGTTTTTGGGAAAACGGTGATAAGTTTTCATTCGGTGATAATAGACGGTAATATTCCTTTGACGTTTTTGCGGTGTTCGCAGAATTCGTCTTTGGGTTTGTTACTACAGCTTTTGCAACTTTTGGACTCTTCCTGTCTGTTTTTGGCAATTTTAATCCATACGTCGTAGATCCGTAATAAAGTGAATGATAATTTTCATTGCCAAATATATTTGGAACAGGCCGATTCCACTTTTCAAAAACTTTTTGAAGATGAGTGTTTTCCCTAGATTTAGAATATGTCTTCGCTTCATCCTCCTGCCGTTTCCCGGTAGTCTGACTTTTCCCAAAAATTATTTTACGATTTTGTTTAATGTCTCTTTTAACATCTGGATCAATGTTAAGAAAATTATTTACCATTAATAACAAAAATTCTTTTCCATAAGAGAAAGTAAATTAAAAAAAGAACTAAGGTACCTGAACTATACAGAGGGTTAATCCTATCAGCATATGATTGACTGACAGATTCCTGCACCAAATTTGATTCTAGACGCGTTTGATCATTTGATTGTGCCATACTTTTCATATCAGTGAACATGCAATCGGTGAATCCGGATTAGTAAAATTGAATTTAAGAAAAGACCGTGATAATTTTCGAATGATTGATCAGGAGTGAAGATGATACGAAATTTTGTTAATTCTGTCGAAATGTCACCACGTTCATGCTTGTCGCTTTCATTCGTCTCACGTTTTCCAATGCAACGTTATAATTTCGCTTATCCTTCTTTATTTAAATCAATTATGCTTAATTCCAACTTTTTTTATTCCTTGCCTAATTACATAATCAAATAGATTTAAACACAATCAAATATGATCCCATTAACTATGCTGTATAATCGTTCGATATTCGTGAATTCGTCAGCATTGAGACTGCGTCAAAAAATATTTATGAATCGACTGCCACGAGTCGAACGCTGGAAAATTCTGCACGGCCGTTCCTGGCGACTCGGAGCACGTTGACCTTGGCTTCTTCTTCCTCTTAATTGGCGGCTCGTACGAGGCATTTGAATTTGCCATTGAATTTTTCATCGCCAAATCCTTCCAAGTTTCATGGACCCGTTTGTATTTGTTCAAAGCATCCTCCATGTCCTGGTCCAGCATCCTCTCAAGTTCTGCATTTTTGAAGATTGGTTTTCCATAATTAATTTTTTTATCCGTCGCCGTTGACAAATTTTTCCCCTGCTGATTTTCATCTCTGCGTTCTAACGAGCTGCTGGAAGAAGTCATCGTTCCCGCTACGTTCGTGATCGTCACCGGAATTATTTTTGGATTTTCTTCTTTCGCAGACTCCTCGATATTCTCCATGGCGTTCATTATCTCTTGGACGTTTCTCAACAGACACTTGTTTCTCTCTAATTTATATTTCATGGATCTTGTCCTATTTGAATTCTCCGCGCTATTGACTTCTGGCTTAATTTTATCGACCTCGTTACGACCGGGAAGGGTTTTAGAAATTTTCGATCGATTTGTGAACGCGAATCGCACTTTTTGAACAGGTTCGTTTTTCTGTTCCCGATTCAAAATCAGTTTATTAATTTTCTTTGAATTCTCCTTGCTCTCAACCTTTCTTATCTTTCCCCTTGACCCATTCTCCGATCTCTCCATCATTTTCTGACTATCAGTCAACATTAACTTTCGTGACCTATGACCCAACTTTTTCCTAAAACCTGACGAATCCTCCGTCTCCTTCCTACCAGACGATTTTTTTGGTCTTTCGTACTCGCAGGTTGGTAACTCTGCAGAATTCGTTCTTACGGATAACAGCTGGTCCATCATCTCTCTCATCTGTTTAAACTCCTCATGTTCATCCATTCGTTTCACCGAGTCCTTAATCATTCCTTTTCTTTCAACGAACTTGTCCTCATCTTTTTCGAATTCCAGCATCCGACTTTCATCTTCAGTCTCACTCTCGTCAGAGTTCATTCTCGATTTATCTCTCGAAACAGCATCCTTGTCGATCTTAATATTATTATTTATCTTAGTAAGCCTCTTAATGGATACTGGTTTCATGTATGTCCTCGTTGCTGAAATATCCTCATTTCCCGTCATACCTGTACCAGAACTCACTGATCTTATCATGGTATCAGAATCCCAAGTGTCCTCGATCTTATCAATGTCTATGGAATTATCAATATTCATTCCTTCGGTTCCAGGAACATCTTCTTCTATCATATAAAATTGCTGATCTACCGGTAAAGACTCCAGCCATCTCACAACTTGTATCGTGTTATCAGACTCGCTATCGGATTCGCTATAGCTGTCCGATAGTATGGGTACGTGATTGTCATCGCTCCAGGAGATGTTTCTCTTTCCTGTCTTGGGTATACGATGACGGAAGTAAGTGCACTGAAAGTTATCACGTGACTGGATCATCTGCAACCCATAAGGATTCTCTACTTCCGTCGATCCGATCTTCGTGGGATTCCCCATTGCCGAACCTTCTCCGGCGGCTCCTTGTCTGCCGGAATTCGCGAGCAAGACGGACTGCGCCATTCCACGCGATCAGTATGGCAAGAAAGAATGCGAGATTATTTAATTGCTCGCGAATTAACATTAAATTATTTTTCAAAAGTATACTCGAATCACTGTTCCAGGAATGACTTTTGTTTGGTTATAAAATTCTATTAGAATTTTCCATTGAATTTACGTGTAAATTGCGTGCAAAACGGTTATTGGGAATTTTCGTAACTTTTTTTTTCTCATATTTATAGAAACGTCCAATTCTATTGTTTTATTCGTTATCGATACTGCAACGAGTGATTTTACATTTGAGGTTATCGTTTACTTCTTTTTGTTTTTGCGTTTTGGGAACATCTCGATACTTTATTATCGGTACATTATTTTTGTAAGGTTAAATATAGATATTTCATGACAATTAAGAAATGCGTTGTGGATTCTGTTAGGAGGCAATTGGTAGTTATCGATGGTAATTTGTCATTTTGTAAGACCCAATCCAACTGCGTACATGTCTGTTATGTCGAGAAGAATTTTTTTCTTCTTTTGTGGATTTTTCTTTCTTTGAGGACCTTGATTTTTGTTCTTTGTCTTTCCTGTGCTGCTTGGAATCAGGAGAGACGGCAGTGGTGGCACCTCGAGAGGAACTGTTCCATTTCTCTTATATTTACTAATAGCATCTCTCATGGCAGTGCTGATGATCTGTATGAGATTGTAATTTTTGTATGATTTATGTAATCGAGTAAGTCGTATATTAATATACCTTCTCTTCGTTTTGCTTAGCCTGAGACTTTTCAGATTTCAAAAGTACCGAACGGTCGCTTTGTTGTTGAAGCTTCATAATTTTCGAAATCAAACTTTGCCGCTCCGATGACGCATCTGATCTCGTATTCACAATAGCGGTAGCTGCCGTTCTGCTTTTGCTCTTAGTCTTTTGTCTTGGACTCTTAGAATTTCCAATTGGCTTAGAAGAGTTTTTCTACGATGAATAAAGCTTTGTCAGCTGTTACTCGTAATTCGTATAAAATCCTCTTTTACCTGGTTCAATGCTGGTGATTTTATTTTTGTATTCTGTGACGTGATGGCAGCACTGGTGCTCGTAGCAGTGGATTCATGTTTGACAGATACGAGTGATGGTTTTGATGACTTAGAAGGTGCAGTAGCTGGTAACGATTGTCGCATCTTAGGAGATTCCAGCTTGTAGCAGGTATAAAATTCTTGATCTAATTGAATTTCTAGTTCCTCTATCAAATCCACTATTACCGGTCCTATGTAGCTATGCACGGTTGATTTCTTTTTTGGCAGAGAGATCTACAAAATTTTAATACCAGTATGTATCTGTGCAGCGATTAGAAATTATTTCTTCCCTGAGCAATAATTTTACCGGTGGCGATTTTGAAACTAGACTCAGCTTGGAATCCTGCGAGTTAGAATTGTGTTTCTTCTCGCAAGCTGTTATTCTCGTTCCTTGCAGTGACAGTGCGGCACCCAAATACGGCTGACAGCTTGGCATCCTTTGTCTATAAGCCAGCTCAAATTCGCCAGTGTCCGCATTTTTATCCTCGCGAAAATCGATAACCACTGAAAATAAAAATAATTCACGAGAATTTCATAATCTTGCTTATTAGCTTGAACAATTATCTATTTACCTTTAATAGTGTCTTCCATAACCTGCCGACATAAACGCGTAGTCACACTGGTAGTGTAGTTCATATCAGGATGACTATTAATCTCGATCAGCCAAACAGAAAAATCCTCCATTACCATAAAATCAGCGCCATACAATTCAAAACTATTTTTACGTCTATCCATGGCTTCCTGGCTAGCCAATAAGGAGCCAACCAAACCCTGTTTCATTCCCGGATAAATGAGCTCATCCCAAGCGTCGTTATGGCCCTGTGTTCTGTATTGAAAATATAGAATAATTATAAATAAGAAGAAAAGCCAAAATAAAATAACGAATCGAACAATCGTAGAATCTTACTTGAGGAATTGCTTAAATGTTGTGGCGTCCCACATGTTATCCGACGGAAGCGCAGGATCTCTGTCGTTACTATTTTTGTATTTGCACTGAATAGCATGATTGCACAAGTGAATGGATTCATGAAAATCCGTAAGACAAAATTTTTGTGAGCAAAACCTTAGGTAGCTTTCCCTGAAAAAAATAACAATATTTAATATCATATTTGATATCTGATAACGATACATTGAATTGCCTGATACATTTTCTCAATAAAAAAATGCTAGTGTATAAAGCTGCAGTAGAGCAACGATCAAATCTACAGTATTCAAATTGAGTTAGGATTGATTAACTTATTAAATAATTTACAGCAAACAATATACCCGCGTATGGATCGCCCGAGTTCTAAAACTAATTGCATATTTGATTATTTGTATTTACTGGCAATTCGTGATAGTTATTTTAGATTTAGTACAAGCATAATACATTTTCCTCAATCATCTTTATTATTAGGCTAATTACCTTCCGGGGTTATATTTAGCGAGTTACTATAATTAGCTACACTCCGTCAGAGGGATATTCTATTTATAAATCGAATAAAACGAACCCTTCTATAAAGGATGGTAATATATTGGCCTACCTGTACATCCACAGAGTCAAGGGTTGTGCACACGATACAATGAACCACTGTCTGATGTCAAATTTAGTACTGTACACCAAGAATGGTCTTTCTGTTGGTAAGAGAAATGAGTAATTTATTAACCTAATTATATTATATTATAAAATAACGTATTTAAAAAAATCACCAATATATTTCTGAACGACGTAACGGGTGTCTGATTTATTAGCTGGATTAACTTTAGCCACTACATCCTCAAGCCTGTTCATGAGAGTAATTCCACGACCTCTACTTTTATTTCCAGGTTTTAATATCCAAACGTTTGTGATACCATCCATGTCCAATTGCGGCCAGTACTTCCGGATCCTCTTGAGGATGTGCCTCGAGGCCAGAAAGTATTTCTAAAGGAAGTCAATGAAATGTAAAATATCCAACGGGGTCTCCCAGGATGTTTGGGACACCCTGCTTATACACTAGTTATCTAACTCACGTGAAAAGGTACATTGTTTCTAACGAAAACAGCTTGACCCTGAATGATCTTGTAATACCAGCAGATAAATTGATCCCATTGATGGGACCAGACCCTCTCAACTTCCTGATCGATATCCTCGTGCGATTGGGCACCAATGTAGTCGCTGCAACGTCTAATAGCAAAATCTAATGCTTTCAGAGGAATTGTACCAGTCGGTGACCTGGTTGCGTTTTCACCCTCGGTGTTGATCTTGTCTACGAGCCACTTGAGTAAGCTGAGACACGCAGTGAACCTGATGGAATTTGTATTATAGTCTTGAAATTATCACAAGCGACTAGAAAACATATTTTGGTTCGCGCGATAAGGAGACAAAATTATAAGAAATTTGTGAACCATTATATGAAACCACCTCTAATCGATTTGACAATCAGAAGTTATGTCTGATCTTACCGGAAGTCTTCAACGAAGGCGTGCATTTGATCACCCTGACATATGTTGTAGCAACGTGGAAATAACGTGTTGGCAACACCAGCTTCGTAGTACCAATGCATTTGTCTGACATTTGAACAAAGGCCCACCTGAAGAATTGATTTTCGTAAGAACAACTTATAAATATTTTAAATTTATTCTGCTGCAGGTGTATGTATATCAATCTCACCTGATACAATTCTACATCCATATTGAAGCTGAATCTATAATTATTTTTACCTTGGAGGTGAAGCCAGCTCTACAGAATCTATTGAAGATTGTAGTTTTATTATCCTGGGTTGGCCATCCTGGCCAGTCTGAGCCAGTGTTCCAGAGGAAGTCGACAGTGTGGTTGCTGAGCATTTTTGAAATGAGTTGACGCTCACTTTGCTGATCCTTGAGGTCACCTATTCCAGCTAGTAGAGCTACTGGGCTTGAATCGACAGTCATATGTTGATCAGCTATTGGTTTTGTGATGTATAAATTATTAGTATTGGTATATCAATATAAAAGAATTATATCTAATAGTCTGATTAATACCGTTAGTAATTTTCTTATAGAATTTCTCGCACCATCCTCTCTTCAACATGCATTCTCGAACTACGCGTGATCTTCCATATATCATAAAAGTACGATGAGCAGCAATTGCATCTTTAACTATTCGTTTAATACGAAGAAATCTTTCTTGTAGTGTCGGTGGTAAAATTGAGTTTAATTCGTTGCTGCCTGTCTTGGACGAAACGGAGTCACAGCCTTGAAAGAAAATCAAAGGTTTGTCATAGTAAGGGGATTGTGAAAATTTTTCATTTAATAAATTTACCAACCATTTTCAGATTTCAAAATGGAATCAGTATCCCTGGCGATCGTAATGGATTTCTCGGATATATCCAAACTCTCATCCTTGCCCTCGTCGTTTTCAATTTTCTCCATTTTTTCCGCATCTTGGGATCCAGGACTCTCCGATTCCGCATCGTTCACGTTCATGTGGTGCAGGTTTTACCTGTCCTGTATCTTGACTACGTAGACGTCTACTAAGAATTCAGTTTCATTTCTTCACGAGATTTGATTAAGGTCCACCTGGTTAGACGAATCTAAAAATTAGCTAATAAATGTCTGAGGACATCATTTTGATTTTTTTTTGGAAATTTTAACCGGGTCAAGTTCGACATAAAGTAAATATAATCGTATCTCATGACAACTGAAAACCTTGACCTCGACTTTTCAATAAGACGAGCCCGACGCTTTTCAAATCGATTATTACCAATCATCCAACCGTTACTATACCTGTTGAGCAATTTATACATTTCACCAATAGCACTCCATTTTCTTTCTATACAGTATTAAGTAATTCCTTTTGAATTTCGTATCTCAAAATAGAATAAGACTCGATCTTCGCACCGTAGTTAAAATTCCAATGAAATCAATTGACTGTAATCTGATCCCATTATAGTTTAATTATCAAACACTGATAGACCGCCACCCGCGATGTCCGTCCCTTCCATAGAACTTTTTAATTATCTACTAAAACCCATGAGAACTCCCAATAAACCTTTCGTTCCTTTGTTTGTCAGAAAAGAAAACCCGTAAGCACCGCCATCAAGTGGTAGCGGCGATATCTTAGGTATGACCCAGGTTAAAAAGTTGAACTGTCACCATAAAGGTGGAAGCGATGGCACGCGGGTGGCGTTCGCCAGCAAACTGATCGGTGGTTCCGCATTTCAACAGTAAACCGCGTACAGGGACCATGTGTCGGTGTTTGGAATCCGGAATTCCGCAGGCGCGGAGGAGAGCAGGAAAGAGCGATTCCAGGGGTTGGATTGAAGAAGGTGCGCAGGGTGGTTCAGGATAAGATCGAGGGGGTGTTTTCCTGGAGTGAGTGGGTCGGTGGTGATGCGAGGGGGTTTCGAGGCTTACGAGCGGCGTACCAGGCACCTTCCTAGTCTCCGTTGGGTTACCCTCACACATGCCCAAGAATCTAGGTAAGAACGTCAACGCAATCGGGGTTAATCAACTATCTGCTATCTTCGACTTGCATTCTCTGACCCACTTAGAAGTTAGCCACGCGGTGGTTATGCACTGCCCTTATTAGCTAATTGCTCCCAGTAATTTATGTTTCACCTGGAGAACTTTGAATTGGGTCTGAAAATTCGTTGGCGAAGAAGAAGTTATAGGGGGCACCAACGCACGAGTTACGTGTTTGGAAATAGGTTACGCTAAATTTTGGATGGATGGATGGATCATGGATACATTGTCTGTTTAGCCATTTAGTGTATTGACTCGTATTCTCCGTCTAGAAATCTATTTCTCGGATGCGTGATCGTGTGTGAAGGATTGTGTTTTATTTATGGAAAATTGATTTATGCATGTAGTCTCTGCTGGCCGTGTGTGCGGGATAATACGAAGCTTGTTATGTGAATTACTGTTTACGTAAGGTTCTATGTTAATTTATGCAAATGAGCCGCATGCTCTATAAATATGACTATTTCCATATCACCGGCTGATAAGCTCAATTGTATATGTTATTATTAGATTGTCAGGTTTATCAACCTTTTAGAAATACTGTATGATTTGTCGCTTGTTAAGGATCTAGAATTCTGGATAAGGTACTGATGGATTTATAATGGGTTAAATGTTTGACTGACCATCAGAAGGGACTGTTGAGAGTCTGGACGAATTTTATACGGTCGAAGGATGATGGGATCTTGTAACACGTACTGTCTTATATTTAATTTAATTAATTTTCTTATACTTTAATCGGCATATTCGACAATATTTTATTTGTAATACTAGAATATTGAAAATGTACAAAAAATGTTTTAATCTCGAAAAAAGTATTACCAAAATGATAAACATGTCACTGTCTCTGATTCAGTCGTGACTAATTTCATGGGTAGTATATATTGAAGGTTATTTAATTGAAGACTTATTATAAACTGCATTAAATTACCAATTGTTTCATATTGCAGTTTGATTACTGCGCGTAGCGTCACGGAAATACAGCAACTCTTTAAACGTAAAATGGAATAAATTAGACAACGGCCGAGTGTCTTATCGTTGTAAAATAGCTGCATGCAAATTTTCGTATCCGATGAGCTGCAAAATGACAAGAGACTTTCGTGTACGGTCGATTTCAAAAGTAGCGCCACTGTACCCACCCTGAATCCTGGATGCCTAGTACAGATTAAAGTCTAGAGTGAGGCGATACGAAGCAACTGTACAATCGATTTTCATTTCAGTCTACGAAAGAACGCTATAGAGTGTAGGCTTGGTTGAAAGTATATTAGTTCAAGATGGCAAGTTTAGTACGAAAGGCGGCGCTACTGCTATTTACTGAAGGATGCATGGAAGAGTATTTTGTAAAATTTAATTTCCTTCACGGTACGTACTTCAGAGATAGATAACTATAATTTATTCTTAAAGCGACCATATAATCTTGTATTCTTGAGAGATCGGTGAAGATCTTTTTTAATTAAAGGCAGGACTGTTTTTTTCTGTCATTGTTGCTGTGTTCTATGATGGTGGACACGTGGCATGCCAAATTTCGGCGGCCAAATACAATATCGATCTTAAAAGTTTACTGGGAATATTTATTTTTTGCACTTAAAAGTTTTGAGAGATTATGTCATTAAAGGATATTCGTATCATCGTTACCAACTTGATATTGCTTGTATAGGCAAGATATTGGAGTATTGATAAGATACACATACAGAATTTATTATTATGTCATGGGGATTTTTGCTATTTGTAACTACTTGTTTTTTAATAAGTTTCAGTTTGTTCATTTATTCAAATCTGGATGTTGAAAAATGTTGATTGCTTTTTTTTAATAAATTTGTGTAATAATGCTTATATTTATAATACATGTTTAATTGTTCTTATTCTAGGTGAATGTTTCAAGGCAAGTCTTAGCAAGGGTCTAGGCTTAGGTATCATAGCGGGTTCCCTATTAGGTTTGCATTTGCAGCTATTATTATTTTGCACACATGCATTAGTAATGATTATATTATCATATAAATTGTCTATTTCCAGTGAAATTACCACAAATTTTAAAACTCCTCAACAACAAAAGTGGCGAAGGCATAAACATTATCAGTGTATTTTTGGACTTGTTTGCAATCACTGCAACAGTGTCTTACAGTTTTATCAGTAAATTTCCTTTTAGGTAATATTTTGAAAAGTCTTATCACAAATTCATTCAAAGAGAAATATTATTATTATGGCATATTTCAGCTCTTGGGGTGATGGAGTATTTCTCGGTGTTCAAACTGCAGCCATTGCTGCATTAGTATTGCATTATGGTGGCAATACTACAAAAGCAACTGCCTTTATTGCTGCGTACATATCAATTATTACTGCTGTAATAATTGGACTTGTTCCAGTAGATGTACTTTGGACTTGCCAAGCATTAAATGTTCCCATTTTACTTACCAGCAAGGTATTGTATGCATTTTCTTAAATTCTATTGGCTTCGTATATAGATCATTTACTTATTTTTATCGATTCTCATATTCAATCCACTGAGCACGACCTTCTAAATCGTAAATAAATTCAATAAAAAACTATCAAACAAGAATCAAGATCCATGAAATCATGCTCAGTGAATTGTATCGATGACCATCTGGTATAGTTCTTATTATGATACAATCTCTTGACTATGTATAAGTTGCTAGTATATCAGTAATTTTTTTATAGAATACTTAATTGTTATTTTCAGCTTATGCAAGCCTATACCAACTATTCAAATGGTAGTACGGGACAACTCTCAGCTGCTACCTGTTTCATGTTGTTCTTTGGTTCACTAGCCAGAATTTTTACTTCTATTCAAGAAACTGGAGACACAATCATTATTGTTACTTATATTGTTGCGACTTCCGCCAATGCTCTGATAGCTTCACAGCTCATATACTATTGGAATGTTGTACCAAAAGCAGCTAAGGATTCCAAAAAGAAGAAGCAATAAAGTTAAAGAAACAGTTAACATATTATCATCCAAACAGATTTAATGTAATTATAGCTTAGAGCATACGGTTTTAATAAATCGGTAGGCCTGCTTTCTCAGGACGCCGTTGAGGGTCAATTGTAAATACTAAATAGATAAGAACGTTTTTAGAAAAGAGAATATATGATACCCCAATTTAAAGGGAGACTGAGAATTCAATAGCGTTCTTCATTTATCTTTTTAGTACAATTATTCCATTAAATTATAATTCGAAAGAAGATTTTTATCTCACTCTTACAAATGTAATATACCATTTTTCCCTTTGCTCATTTGACGACAGTACTGAAACTTTGCTTTAAGAAAAAATTTCATTTGCATCACCTGTATAACAGACTAAGCTTCGAGATTCCAAACAGAATCTAATAAAAGACTTTCTAAATAACTAATTCTTTATTTTCCATTAAAAAAAATCCACATAAAGATGTCTCTCTCTCATCTTCCGTTAATGTTGAAGTTAAGTACTATAGGAACAGGGTTCAAAGGTACCGAGTCACCGGAAGTACCGGCGACATTTTAATCGATGAAAGTAGTTCTCAAAGTGTCCGGCCGCGTAGGGGTCGCTGTCAACGTACCTCGTTTCCGTTTTACACACTGGCGCCGTGACTCATGCAACGTACGACTCGCCGAAAGCTTAGTCGTTTTATCGCCGAGGATGGCTGCATACTGACTGTGTTTTTATAGTGTGAATTGTGTGGAAGAGACGAGTTATTAATCCAGAAAGAAGGTGAGTAATAAAAGTGCCCAAAAAGTAGAGTAAATATAATATAATATAAAGAGAAACAAGGCGCATAGGCGGTTGCTGGGATGATGTTTGGTCATTGCGCGGTACTATGGCGTCGTAGTCGCTTTCGCAACTTGGACACGGCCAAACGACCATTTTGTTATCAGTAAATCAATAGCGCGCCTACTAGTACGTTGTCCATCGTTTCGCTGGCAATAATACCCTCTGTTATTATCACTCCACTACTCGACGGAATACTTTCTCAGTTTATACGTTCTATCATAATACCGGTACGCCCACCGAATTCCTCCGCCAAGGTAACTAACATAACGAACCGGTTCTATGAGTCGTTGCTTTGCGCACGAGCTCTGAAAGCTTTCGATTTTCATAATTATTTCCTTAGAATTATCACGATCTCGTTCCTATTGCTAAATATTTATATCTTTTTACTTGCCTTCCTTTTTTCTCCCTGTTTTCATAGAACCGTTTGTTTCTCGGTTGTAAACACAGCATCGATGGTAATCGTCTATCGAGGTTGGGAATATACATACGTAGTGCACGAGTGTCTGGCTTTTTAGATTGGATTCAATGAGATATAGGTTAATATCTCGATATATTGTATCGATCGCCTGTGATCGAGAATGCCTTTTTTTTTTAAATTGTATACATTTATTTTCTATATCTATATTTATTGTAACCCTGCGATCAATCCGATCGAATCGGTCAGCCTATTTGAACAAGGCGATTTCATAGTCTTACAGGTTAGATTGGTCGCACGGTCGCACCGGTGAGAGTCGGAATGGAGTCGATGGACGCGCGCCTCGTGGCGCAGGCGTTGAACTACCACGGTCAGCAGTTGCAGAAAGTTTGGGAAGGGGAGCGCAACGAGAACGAGCTGGCTATGCTCAATCTCAAGGAACCTAACTTCGAAATCTATCAGCAACGCCAAAAGACCCTTAGGTATTTGATTGTTATCATGTCGGTGAGCGCGCGCACGCTCGTGCCCTACTCATCTGGAAGTCCTTTTGATGCCACACTTTGATTTTGATGAAAACTTTATTGCTTCAAGTATAGTGTTTGCTCCTTGTAAGAGAAAATCATTAAGGAAATAACTTTAGGGAGTATACGTATATATTTTTTTTTTACTTAACTCATTTATTACTTATGAAACTTGAATTCATCAGGTGACTGGATTTTGTTTGAAATATTCTTTCAGATTTAATATCGCTATGATTCTGTCCAACAAAATTTATTGAATATCTTGTAAAGCAGCTGTGGTTTGTTCCAAAACTGTCTTATCGCTAATGTGAGAAAAGCACATATCGATTGTTTTTTAGTCCAACTAGAGATAATGAAATGGTGATGTTTCATCAAAAATCAGAAGTGAATATGGAAAGATCATAGGCTTCCTTGTATGGGAAAGTATCAGGATCGAGAAAACTCCTTTCGTTCGTAGCCTTGGGGACAGGGGAAAAAGACTGAAGCTTCAGCAATTCCTTGCTAAGAAAGCGGATGCTCTCTATGACAAGTCAAACTTAGAGAAGACTGTCGAGCCCATTAGACAGGAGCTTGGAGACGAAGGTAAGTGGGCGTGGATTTTTGTTTTTCTTCTGCGGAGTGCTGAAACCTATTGCCCAGGGTACCAGAAATTTCCATTTCCTTCCAGAATTTTATGCAACAATGCCGGGACTCGATTCTTTTGTCACCATGGAGAAATCACAGCGCATTAGGAACTTTTTAGAGGTAACTTCATTGCCCATCTGTCTCTGGAGAGAATGCATTTGCACCAAAAGTTCCACATGTGTAATGATTGCTGCGCCTGTTTGCAGAGTTTGGTTGTCGGGGACGTAATTTACGCTCAAGTGATGGGTAAAAGTGCCGCGGGCCTTCTTCTGAAGGTTCTTTGCAACTGCAGTGACTGTCCCAGAGTTGTCACAGACCTAGGTGTTAAGGTACAATCAATTCCATCCAGATTGAACAATTGAATTGCATGAGTCAGGTTATGAGCTTATTACGTGTGGACAGTATAACAGATAATAGAGTTCAGTAAGTTGCCTAAATATCAGTAACACTTATGTCTCTCCAGAGAGATTAAAAGAAAAAGAAAGAAACAGTTCAATATAGAATCAAGTAACTTAACTGATCACATATGTTTTATATTTTCACAACGACACCAATTTTCAAAAGTTATAACAGTATTACCGTGTTCATTCCTAACAGTCTGACAGTGCAATTATCAAAACCCATATACATACCAGTTTAACTAAATTACATCAAATTCATTATAGCCTAACAAGTACACCGCTACATCAAAAGGTCCATGCGTAATAAGTACTAACCTCAAGATGAAGGTACACATTGATTCCACTCTGGTATGCCCTAACCATATCAGACAGGAATGACGCAGTGGTTACCTCCAGTACAAAAAAAAAATGTTTTGAAGCTTCACAGCGATTGTTATGCACGTGCAAAGTCATAATGATTGCGACTATTTCGTCGCGTGTGCAGCAGTCACAGAACTGCGATCATTTAAATTATGCATAATTAAATTCAACTTGTTAGTCAGTCACGAGAAACGTTGTGCATAAAACGTTACCGGTAGCCGGTATCACGTTGAGCCTAGAAGCTTACGTGAAAATAACATGATAAATCTAGCTTTGTGAATAGAGACACGAATCAGGTAAAAAACATTGGCAAAGAAAAAGATGAATTTAAGAAAATTCGATAACTCAGTCACGACAATGCCTTCTCGGTAGTCGGAAGCGTCTACGAAAATCCTAACATGCGCGCTCTTTTCGCTAGGCCTTGATATTGAATACGGCCACAGTGCCGGCGGTGGACAAGAAAGGAGTGACAAGAGGCTACATGGCCAACGATCTGGTCTGCGTCGTAGTGAGTGAGGTTAACGTTGAGGCTGAGCGTGTCGTTGCCGTTATGAACGTTCCCGCCCGTGAGGGCCAGGCACCGCACCCACCTATGGGTCTTATCCATTCCGACGATCTGCCGGAGGCTTACAAGTAAGTTACGCCGAACTAGATAATTTAATAAAGCACAAACCGAAACCACTGACCTCCATGCCCGATCTTTTTTAGATTTTTTCTATTTTTCAGTAATTTATTAATTTTTTTCTTTTCTTGTCCCAAACCACGTGCCAGTGAAGTGCTCTACCAGGAACGTCATTTGAATTGTCGTTCTACGATGAACACACGTGACGCAACATGTGTGCGACTGGTAGGGTATTTATTGGTAACGTGACTGAGACTTTCTGAAAGTGACGGGTACGAAGATAACCTTTAAATTATGTAACGTTCACGTGCCTGGAGCACTTGGGATTGATTTGTAATTTTTTGATGTCCGCCATTGAAGAAAATGTCCCTTTAAGAAAAATCGTTGGGATATCTGTATAGCTTTGTTAATCTAGAAATTGTTGCGCGGCAGAGACAAATAATCGTCGGGAATTATATTGTTGTCGTATCTATAGTTATCTGTCAGTCGAGTAGAGTCGGTTTCGCATTGTCCGTGTTCCACGCGTTATTCGTATTTGACGTTTGACCCATGTTGAAGAGGGCCGAATTAACGTGGAAGGTAAGGTAAAAGAATGGCGATTAATTGAGGGAGATTTGAAATATTATTTTTTAACAATCGCATTGCGATACTAACCACATCAAAGGTAAATCAGACTTGACTCCTCTGACACGTTTTTATGAATCTAGGTGCCAGACACTCTATGTAACGTAAAAGTCGATAGTCGGTATGATGATGAGTTTATAATGCGATACAAATGATTCGAACCTTGAGCATTGGTTGACGTGGCTCTGTTCCGCACACGTTCCTATCTACGTTTGTGATATATTACTCTCAAAGCACCAGCCAAACTATGGCGTCAAAATGACATCAATGTGTCTTTTGAGATTGAATTTCCAGTATGAGACTTGAGCCTTGGGTTGGTCAGATTGGGTGCAGCAGACGGTAGGTATAATAATGATGTACAGTTGTTTGGTCTCTTGATAGGACAGTTAGATCAATGATTAAGTACCAATGTTTAATGGAATAGAAATTTAGCAGAAAAACCATGGAAGATTTCCCAATTTACAAGGTAGTTTGTTGATCTATTTATTCCACGAGCTATCTACGTCACATCTCATTGATTTGACGACAAACAATACAATAATCATCAGTCAGGTTACCAGTGCATTATTTCAATCTGGCAATAATGTGCAGTCAAAGACATAGTAGTTGCATGGCGTGAGAATTTATTACAAAAATTTTTTTTGGTGCTTTAGATTAGTTAAAAAAAAAAAGTCATGGAGTTCGAAGGAGAGACCAGGCAACAAAAGGTTTAGACAAATTCAACCTTTATATATATAAATATATATAATAGGCTCGAAAGGATTGCGGCTTAGCATAGTAATTAATGCCTCGTTTAAACTTACAGCTTGTATTGACAAATAAAAAAAAAAGATGTCGTTCAAATTGACACCACAAAGCTCAAAAACAGGCGAGCATACTGCTACTACCAATACTACTACTACTACTACTACTACCTACTACTACTACTACCTACTACTACTACATCTAAAAAAAATTTTTTTGGTCAACTTGGAAGACAAAAATACTCAGGCGTGGCTCCCAACCTATTCTAGGGCTATGCAATTTGTTTTATTGCACAAAAAAATATACCTAAAACCAAAAATATCACCACCGATCGATGATAGGCTGTGTGCTTTTGTGTTGAGAGAGAGAGAGAGAGAGAGACAAACCATACCCATGATTACAAAACGTGATAGAACCAAAAATATCTAAAATCCAATTGAACAGTACATAAAAATAAAAAGTCTATACGTCTTAGCGATCGAGAAAGGTGAGGCATGACTAATGTGAGTTCACATAATAATGAGGTTGTATCATTGTAAAATGTAAGCTAAGAGACTTTGTGGTAATAAAGGAAGCACAACGACCTTCTTTATGGCGTCCCTAGCGCATAATTGCAGAACCAGGTTGCTCGTTAACGTTTAAAATTGTGGATTTGGATGTTCTCTAATGCCACATGGTATGATGGACCGCATTAAGAAATAGCTATGAGTGGTTAACGAGAGAAACAAGATTGCTGGTAAATACCGTTTGGCATTAGGGTGGTATCCTTGAATAATTCATGCAGACCGAAAGACAGGATGTGATAATGCACAATATAAAATACATATATACATATGGAAGACACGCAGAGGAGACCGAGCGAGAGAGAGAGAGAGAGAGAGAGAGAGAGAGAGAGAAAGTGAGAAGCCATGGAGGCATAAAAATAAGCAATGATTAAGGAGACACGTATTGGCGGAACGGAAGATGTATCTTTAAAAAGTGGATTTTACCTAAATAGATGAAAATTGCATAATGGACAGACAATGCGAACACGACGAGATGTCAGAAAGCACTGGATGTTATAAGATGGATCCATAATACTCCTGGAAGTCGTCTCAAAAAAAAAAAAAAAAAAAAAAAAAAAAAAAAAAAAAAAAAAAAAAAAAAAAAAAAAAAAAAAAAAAAAAAAAAAAAAAAAAAAAAACACATAAAACGTATCTTTTGAGCACAGCCAACGGAGAAATGATTGTTCGGTCGACATGATTATTCGATCTCTAGTTTCTCCGTTAACCGAGCATATCCGGTTCGTTTCTCGGTGGGATTGAACGTGTGATTATGGCCGTGTGATAATAGGACGTTCTTTTCTCTCTTATGTGATGTAGGAAAGCAATGGACAACAAAGGAGAGAGTTATGAAACGATCTTGGAGAATAGCACTGGGTTCAACAATCCAAACAACATTAAATATCTATGCGACTTGAAGGGACTCGGACAGGAGAACCATTCGAATATGGTTGGCCTTCGGTATGTAAAATTTTATATTTCGTTTATTCCCATTGCGTGATGTTAATGGGTTTTATTTTGGGCACCTTATAACGATAAACTCTTGTCTTTACAGAGAAAGATTTCCACCTAATGAATATGCCACTGAGCTCAGGCAAACTCAAGCAAGCAAGTGGGCCTTCCGTAGCGTCGCTGAAGGGATTGATCATTTCAAGGCAGGACGACATTCCGAAGCTTTTCAGTGCCTGAATAAGGCACTCACTGTCGATCCGCGAAATGTCGAGGGCTTGGTGGCTCGTGGAGCACTGTAAGTTTGTTATATCGATAATTTGAGTGGCCTTGGTGAAGTCTCGTTATATCTTGATATAACAATGTTCTTATCTTGCTCTGCAGTTATGCAAACAGTGGCAGCTTCAAGAAGGCCATCGATGACTTCGAGACTGCACTGAAATTGAACCAGACACATACGAATGCTAGGAAATACATGGCGGAGACGTTGGTTGCTCTTGGTAGAAGTTACGAGGACGAGGAGAAGTTCGAGGACGCCAGGAAGGCATACGAGAACTGTTTAGCCATCGCGCCCTTTCACGAGGAGGCGAGAAACTCTATTGAGTATATAAAGACGAAGACGCTGACGGTGCCACTGAATCCGTTGGATACGTTTAAGATTGTGGAGAACGAGAATGAGATTGGAGATACGAAGAAGGAGAAGAAGAAGCGTAAGAAGGAGAGAAAATCGAGGTCGAAGAAGCGTCAGAGGTGGAGCTCCAGCTCGAGCTCTTCGTCCAGTGGCTCCTCTAGCTCGTCCAGTTCGGATTCCAGTAGCTCCTCGTCCTCTGGCAGCTCCAGGTCGGCTTCCCATTCGCCAAATCGTAAGAGGAAGCATAAGAAGGATCATCGCGGTTCCTTGTCGCCTCTGAGCAAACGTATGGCCCAGTATAATAATCCTCCGGCCATTGCTACGTCAGCTTCTCATGATCCAATAACGTCGGTGCCTTATGCTGTTAACACCCGGGATAAGATGGACGACTATGAGATCAAGGTACGCAAATTCTTCGAGTAGATCAAGGATCGATTTCAGTAACGTGAATCGTTGATAGAATGAGCTCGACGTTATTCTCGTTGTTGGAATCGTTCTTGGTCTGTTCCTGAAATTTGCGCATCGTGATCTCATGTGTTACCCTTTTTTATCTAGGTAAGAAAATTCCTGGAGGAGACTACCAGGTGGAAGCGCGAACGCGAAAAGGAGAAGAAGCATTCCGAGAGCGAGAAGATGAAGAAGAAGAAGAAGAAGGAGAAGAAGGGCAAAGACAAGGAGAAGGAGGACAAGAAGAGTCGCAAGAAGAAGAAGAAGGAAGAGCGCAAGAAACGAAAGAACAAGGATAAGCTCGAGCGCGACTTGGAAGCACTGAAGAAGTCCTCCCTGCCGGATCTTGAGCAGCTGGAGTCAAAGCTTAACGCTTATTATGCCAAAGTCGAGAAGGAAACTGCGGTTCTGAAAAGGTTGGACTTTACTTCTTCATGGATGTATCATACTCGCTATGTCGCGACTGTCACTGCTTTTAACGTTTGTCATCATCTGCACGATGGTACCTTGCGCCGTATTAATTCGTTGCGCACGCGTGTCCTGAGTGTCACACGGTTGCACGGATTTAATTCGGCATCATTAACGGCAGGGCTGGCCTAACACGGACCGTTTGAGAGGTTCTCTTTACGAGAAAGAGGAGCAAAAAAAAGGAGCTTTTTGCTTGTTCACTTTGTCCCCCTTGATATGCGTGTATCTTTCACATGGCATTTGGCACAATCCACGGTAGCCGCGTAGTTCAGAGAGGCTGTCTCATTATTTATGTTTTTATATTTACTAGGTATGTAGCACAGTATAATGACATAGCTTTCCCTCTTAGCAACGCGGAGAAGCTCGCGGAAAGTTCGCGAAGGGAGGAGGAGCTTCGTAGGGAAAGAGAAAGGGAGCGTGAAAGAGATGAAGCTTCTAAAGCCTACCACGAGCGGGATACCAGGTTGCCGATGTCCGCGCAACAGCGTAAAGGTGCGAATATCAGCTTAGAGAAAAATTTCAAAGATTCTTCTGTTTACATTGCCACTTTTCATTAGCTTCAATTGGAATGTTCTATTCTCAATTATTCTTTTTTCTCGTTGAATGTGGAAAAACGCGATCATCTTTCTCTCTTCTACCCGTGGTGACCTCCGTCTCCTTACAGAGATCCAGAGGAAACCTCTCACCGATATATTTGAGCAGGAATCTCAATTGATACACCCTGAGCCAAAGATACCGACTCTGGACACCGCGGCCCTCAACGCAAAGTGGAAGGCTGCCCAGGCCGCCAGGTAAATAATAGCTCCGATAGGTTCTTTCTAATTTGGTTACGGAACGTTAAAAGTTATTAGCAATAAGAAAGAATCTATCTCGGGAACAATGAACGGCGTGATGCTACTACCAAGCGATGTCTCGTGCGACTTAGTTTAGTCTTCTAGGAACGTAGTTGACGTTACGGTTAAGCTCGGGTTATGCAGGTGATCGTTATTTACGTGCGATACGATTGTATGATTCTAGGCAGAAGGAAGTCCATCCCCAGAAATGGCAAGATATACCACCGGAAAAGAAACTTCCGCCTGAAGTCGATAGCGACGAGGATGACGATAACGAGCTGGAGGAGAAACTACAGCGGGTGGCTCTCGAGAAATCTTTTAACATTCGTAAACAGATGCAAAGGGAATTAGTAGAGAAGCGGGCAGCAGCGCAGCCGTTGTCGGCGCCGACACCGCCACCGCCATTGCCAAAGGAACCGCAATTGCCGAAACCGGCGCCAGTGAAATATCCCACGCCTCAACCGCAAAACAAATTTCAAACTTACAAGGATCCTACAATGTCATTGCCACAAACGGCACCTGGAAAATTCGGCTCAACGTCAAATCTTGGAGGAAAGTTTCAACCTATTGGACCAAGCGGCGGCGGTATTCATCCCCCGGAACCACCAGGTCCTCGTCCGCCGCCATTGAAAAATCAAAGCCAGGCCAAAGGGCCAAGAACCGATTCGGACAGTGACAACGAGCGCCAGCACAGGCAAACGCTCAAGAAACGGGATTCCAATTCCAGAGGTGGAATGTCCAAGAGAATGAGCAGAGACCGTCCCGCCAAGAGATCAAGGAGTCGGTCTCGTAGCGCATCGAGTTCAGGATCCTCAAGATCACGATCAGCAAGACGCAGTAGATCCAGGTCGTACTCTAACCGTAGATCAGGAAGTTACGAGCGAAAGTACAGTCGTTCGCCTTCTGGTACCTACAGTAGATCACGCTCCAGGTCACGCTCCAGGTCCTACACCAGAAGTCGCAGTCGCAGCAGGTCCGGCGATCGTGGTTACTATCGCAAACGACAGTTCCGTCCTTACAACAATCGCGGAACCTACTACAAGCCCCGTTTCCAAGGTTTCAACAATCAGAATCACCGAGGAGGCAACAATTTCCAAAACCGCAACCGCTTCTACAATAACCAGCACAACAACCGCTTCGGCAACAGACGCGGAGGTGGTGGTTTCAATAACAGAGGCGGTGGTCGCGGTCGGGGTGGTAATCGTGGTGGCCGTTTCTTCCACGGGAAGCAAGGCTTTCGCGACTTCAGGGATCGTCGTGACTTCAGAGACCGAAGAGCCGTGTCAAGGGACAGATACAGTGACAGAAGCTACTCACCCGACCCTATGAGGAAGGTCGACGAAGCAAAGGAGAAGATCAACAAAATGTTAGAAGGCGGCGAGGAACCTGGTGATCATCAGCAGAGCGGAGCATCCGGAGTGCCACCTGGCAAGAGACAAGATGGGCCTTTGAGTGAAGGTGAAGAGCGGGACGATGATGACTACGAGAGGTGGGGCGAGGGTCAGGGGGGCGACTCAGCTAACAAGGTTGGTTAGGTCGAAGTTCTCTGCTGGCTTTTCGAAAACCAGAAAAGCCTGAGTTAGTCATGATGATGATCAGAGTATGCTAATGAGATGAGAATAATAAAGGATGAATTATAAGAATTATTAACGACGATGACCTTTGAGTCGCAAGGGCGAGAGTACCAGGCCACCGGGCCAAAAACTAACTCTCGTTTGTTGCTAGAGCGAGGAAGTTGGGCCTGTCGAGGATAACCTGGATGGCAAGGATCACTTCATTGAGCGCATGAAGCAGCGAAGCAAGAAGGTTTTAATCCAGAGAGACATCGCAGCTAAGATTTGGTAGAAATATCCTGATTTTGGATCCACTCATCGATTCCGCTTACCTGCGGTACACTGCTACCGAATTTAGAGACACTAATATATACCAATTTCTCTTAATTTCACTCTTTGTTCTTTTTTCTCTTCGTCTGTGATATATAGTCGCTCTCGTTAGTCATTGCCAGAATTCTCAATGATAAAGGTTGACACGAATTACTTGCCAGTTTTGCACAGGACTGTTTTTCTTTTTTTAGATACCATTATTCCTAGGATTTCAAAGTTTTACCAATCACAGAACACGTGTATTAATCGACTGATTTAATTGGCATTATCATTTATGCAATTAGTGTTATCACTCTTTATTGCATTTCTCGTTATATAGTTTCTTTTATCTAATCATTCCTCGATACAATATATTATGTAGTACTAGGTTTCTCTTTCTTTCTTTCTTTCTTTCTTACTTACTTACTTACTTTTAATCAACATCTGCACCGACGGACACACTGAACGAAGAGTAAATTGCAATTGGGCACTGCATAATAGCAATTCCATATCACTGTGGTTTATCATAATTTACAATTGCACCTCACTATTGAAACACTCTATAGTCCTTTTACACATGCTCTGATTTCATGGCCTCGACAGGTCTTTGGATTACACATTTGTGCTTTCACGTATACTCTACGTAAGTGTCTCCTCCACCGTTCGTTTGTCCTTTTAAAAAGAAAACTCATTGTCATCATTACAGTCACGCTGTACGTTTTCGACATTACGCAGATCAACCTTCAGTTGCATCCTCATTCTTCGACTGTTATTTGATTTTCTTTTTACAAATTCAAACCTATGTATCCATCTTGAAAACGAGAGCATAAAGCATTACGAAAAGAAGAAACGTGTCCTCGCCAGGGCAAACATCCTCCTGCGTTCTCATCGAAATGAAAAGGAAAAAAAAAAACAAAAAAAAATAAACGTTGCAAAGATCAAAGACATTTTACCACATCGTCATTATGATTATTGACACTTATTTTACAACATTAGTGTACGAGTAACCGATAAGACAATTACTGTATGTTGTATGTAAACGCGTTGCTGTACAATTTAAAAATCCAATGAAGCAAAAAGAAAAAAAAATATAACACCTTATAAAGCCAATGGATCAGTGAATAATTTTCTTGCACCTTGTGTAACCACCCTTGTTATCTTTATTTGTCGCTATGTTAATTAGACGAACGGGGGTCAGAGGTCAGTGCATAATGCACATTTCAGCGAGCGGACAATGTAAAAGGAAGTCATTTACCAAAGAATCGCAAGACTCATTAAATTTATCAACACTCTTCAACCAGTTCTCTTTATCAAGCAATTGGCATAAACTAATTATGCATTTTCCACGGCTGACTATATAAACCTGAGTACGAGCTGTTGCACCTCAGTTGCAAACAAAGAATTGCTACCATGAGCTCGTTCAATCTACTTGTTATTTTCATAGGAGTTGCACTTGCCATTGCTGAAGTGTCCAGCCGACACGGTGGTTACGATGGTAAGAAAGTTTTATGATAGTAATTAATCAAAGCTTGATTAATAATAATTCTTGCCTTGCTTCGCAACTCTTGATCAATTTTATTAGATCACGTGGATTATAACAGCCGTGCAAGATGCCTACATCACGAAAGATACAGCGCGTGCGACGCTAATCCAACATGTCAGAAAACTTGTGATAATTTAGGTCAACATGGTACACCTTGTCCAAGGACCAAGATCTGCATCGACGGGTGCGTTTGCGTCGATGGATATGTACGTCGTAGAGTGAATGGTCCATGTGTCAGGGAACAGCTATGTCCAAGAGTGAGACACTGAAATCTGTAAATTGTGCACGATTGATTATGAATATCTTATTCGGAGTTGAATTGATTTTGTTAAATTATTGGATAATAAAGTATTGATTTCTGGGTATATCGAGAGTTATTGGCATCTCGTTACTTGGCCGTTATAATTTACTCATATTACAGATGTGATTTGATCTCTGGCGTGATGATTGTCCTAATGGTTACTTGTGAGTATGCGTGCAATGTCAAAGGGGTGGGGGGATGCCTC